TGTCACGTGTCATCTCTAAACTGAGGCTGGAACTGATGTCCCCAAGGAATGTCAGCCGCTGGGAAGGGCTCATGGCCAGCCCACGTCCCTTCCAGGCCAGAGCGGGGCAGCGGTTGGGAGGAGGCGCCTGGGTGGAAGGGGAAGTCAAGTCCAGGTTGAGGCCCAGCCTCCGCGGCGCCCCAGGCCGTGGTCTCCAGGAGAAACGGGAGGCGGGTGGGGGGTCTGCGCTGTTCTCTGGCCACGAGGGAATGGGGTGCCCCGGGGAACCGTCCTCCTCCCCAGTCCCTCTGTCGGCTCCCAGGACCTCCTCCAAGGGGGGAGCCAGGCTGGCAGCCACCGTGTCCCCTGGCCCGCGCCCCTCTACCTGCCCGGGACACTGGCCAACGGGTGCAGAGGGGCGGGAGGGGAGGGCCCACCAAAAGCTGTTGGCGGAGACCCCAGTCACAGGTGACGCTGCCACTCCCCGGGGGATCTGCGAGGTGTCAGGACTGTGGGGAAGGGACATCAGGCACTGGGTGGCAGTTCAGGGAGCTGAGACGGAGGAGGAAAGGCACGGAGGTGCTCTGGGCCCACGGGCGGCCCCAGGACTGCGCTGGGCAGGCCAGGCGCCTCCCACAGGCTGGGACCGGGACCGGAAGGCAGCAGATGCCCTGCCCACGCCCCGGGCCTGTTGGTGTCAAGGTCAGCAGGCGCCTGATGCCCGAGAGATCCTGCCCCTCCAAGGCCCGTCCCCAATCCTCCGTCCTCCTCCCAGCACCTGGAATCCACCCCAGACCCAGCCAGCACCCGAGCTGTGACGGCCAGCGGCTGCCAGCGGGCAGGACAGGCTGTGCTTGCTGCAGGGAGTGAGGAGGTGACCTGGCCAGGACGCCCCAGGCCAAGGAGCTGTGCCCAGGCCGTGCCCAGTGGGAGGTGCACCCCTCCACCCCCGAGTTGCTTAGGGCCTCACCAAGCTGCTGGTCCTCCCGCCTCAGCCTCCGGGTGGCTGGGATGGCCGTGACGTCAGGTCTGGAATGTCCACCCTCCGCCGTGGGCAGAAGGCAGCCAGCCGGGGACAGTGTGACTAACACCAGGAGACCCGATGGCAAGCCCCAGCCCCAGGCCACACCTGACACTGCAGGCGACGTCCCCCACAGGGCCCTCGGGGACCAGCCAAGCCCAGACCAGGAGTGAGAGGCACACGTCTCCCCCAGCCCTGGACAGGGCAGTCTTGGCAGGTCACCCTCCTGGGACCTCATCCCAACCCGGGGCTGGGGACCTGGGCCCTCCTTCCTTCCGGCAGAAGGAAACCGAGGGCAGGGCCGCGCCTGGGTCCCCTCCGTCCCAGCAGGACCCAGCCCAGGGCCTGGCTCCCAACTCAAGTGTCCAGTGAAGTCCATGGGACCAGCCCAGCCCAATGTGCGCTGGGGACTCTGTCCCTGGAGCTGGGGACTCTGTCCCTGGAGCTGGGGATTCTGTCCCTGGAGCTGGGGACTCTGTCCCTGGAGCTGGGGACTCTGTCCCTGGAGCTGGGGACTCTGTCCCTGGAGCTGGGGATTCTGTCCCTGGAGCTGGGGATTCTGTCCCTGGAGCTGGGGACTCTTGGGTCGCGCAGTGTCCACAGGCTGAGGGCAACCTGGGTGGCAAGGGGGGGGCACACCAGGGGGGGAGACCCAGTCGTGCCTGGAGCCACAGCGGGCAGCCTCCCTCTGAGCCACACGCTGCCAGGCATGGGGAGCCCGGGGGACACACGCCACATCCCAGTTGGCCTCATGGTCCGTCTGTTCCAAGAAGGTGAGGGCCTAGCGTCTGGAGGTGACAGGCTCCAGCCTCAGGCCGCTGAGTCCAGTCCTGGCTCTGCTCCTGGTTGGCTGTGTGACCTTGGGCAAGCTACCTTGCCTCTCTGGGCCTGTGTCTTTCCTCCACGTATTCAAGGCCAGCCCTCCCTGGAGCCTCACATGCCAGCCCCTTTCACCCACTTAAGGCTCCAGCAGCGCTTCCCGCTTCCCTTCCGGTACCACCCACTTCCCTTCTTTCCCAGGCCAACCTTGATGGCATCCGGCATCTGGCCATGTTGATTTCTCCAGCCTTAAAACCAAAACAACTACAAGGACCTCCTCACGCCACCCCTGCACCTGCTTCCTCTGCTGCCTCTCCTAGCAAAATCCCCTTGCAGAGCAGCCAGACTCGACTGTGAAAAGCAGCTGGCCTCTCTCCTAGCCTCTCTCCAGGCTTCTCTTCTGGCCTCTCTTCCCAGCCTCTCTCCTGTACCCTCTCCTGGCCTCTCTTCTGGCCTCTCTTCCCAGCCTCTCTCCTGGCCTCTCCTGGTCTCTCTCCTGGCCTCTCTTCCCAGCCTCTCTCCTGGCCCCTCTCCTGGCCTCTCTTCTAGCCTTTCTCCTAGCCTCTCTCCTGGCCTCTCTCCTGGCTTCTCTTCCCAGCCTCTTTCCTGGCCTCTCTCCCAGCCTCTCTCCTGGCCTCTTTCCTGGTCTCTCTCCTGGCCTGTCTTCCCAGCCTCTCTCCTGGCCCCTCTCCTGGCCTCTCTTCTAGCCTCTCTCCTAGCCTGTCTCCTGGCCTCTCTCCTGGCTTCTCTTCCCAGCCTCTCTCCTGGCCTCTCTTCCCAGCCTCTCTCCTGGTCTCTCTCCTGGCCTCTCTTCCCAGCCTCTCTCCTGGTCTCTCTCCTGGCCTCTCTTCCCAGCCTCTCTCCTGGTCTCTCTCCTGGCCTCTCTCCTGGTCTCTCTCCTGGCCTCTCTTCCCAGCCTCTCTTCCCGGCCTCTCTCCTGGCCTCTCTCAGGTTTTCATCCTCATGACTCCACTAAGCAGCACTCTTGTCGGGATCACTCACCTTGTCTCCAAATCCAGTGTCATTTCTCAGGTCTCATGTCACTGGCCTTCACCCCAGCCACCGCTCCCACGCTGGCAGGGTCTCCGTGGCTTCCTGCTGCCTCCTGCTGTGGCTCTGCTCCTCCTCTGGTGGGCCCAGGGCTGTGGCTCCTCTCTGTCACACTCACTTCCTGGGGGTCGCGGATGCCACACCACGGCCGGCAGCTCAGCAGGGGACAGAAGCCAGGCCTGTCTGCACTGCAGTCCCTGGATACTTCTGGGTCCCCGACCCCAGCCCTCTTTTTTTTTTTTTTATTGGTTGTTCCAGACATTACAAAGCTCATGACATATCATCTTTCATACATTTGACTCAAGTGGGTTATGAACTCCCATTTTTACCCCAAATACAGATTGCAGAATCACACTGGTTACACATCCACATTTTTACATAATGGCACATTAGTGACTGTCGTATTCTGCTGCCTTTCCTATCCCCTACTGTCCCCCCTCCCCTCCCCTCCCCTCTTCCCTCTCTCCCTCCTCTGCTGTTGTTAATTCTCTCCTTGTCCCCCCCTACCCCAGTCATCTTGTCCCTCTGCCCATGCGTGGCTTCCTCCTCTCCTCCTCCAAGTGGTCCACGGCCGACCCTGCAGGGCCCTGGTGCTCAGGTCCTGGGACCCTGACTTGCCCCACTCCTCGTCCCTCACCCTGATGGCCTCCAGGCCCCTGAGAGAGTGCCCCCCGCAAAGCCTCTGGGGCCTGGTGGCTGCCCAGTGTCCCCAAGGCTCCCGCTCTGACTCCTTCCCCCGACCCCAGGCCCCGACCTCCTGTCCCCTCCCCAGGCACCTCTGCCTGCGGCTCAGAGCTCAGCGGGGCACGTGGCACAGAGACGTGACTGTCCCCGCCACCGTCACCATCTCCTTCCACAGTGGGTCACAGCGGGGCCCAGAGACACACCTGGCCCAGGCCACACACAGAGCTGCTGCCCCGGGTGGGATGGCCTGGGACGGCCGGCTGGCCCTGCTCCAGGACCCTGGACAAGATGGCCGCAGCCCCTGTCCAGGTCCTGGGCCAAGGTGAACTGGGCGGGGCTCTGCCCTGAGCCGCCAGCCCCGACCTCTGGGCCTCTGGCTGTCCCCGTCGCTCAAGGAGAAAGGGACCCAGGAGAGAGTGGGCAGGGTGGCCGGGCGCCGCTGTCCCCGGGACCTGCATCTGCATCCCGGGCGCGTTCTGCCCACGCTCTGCCCGTCCTGCCCGCCGTCCTGCCCACTTAATTGAAGCCGATTATTTCATACAAAGGAGCAGAGGACGGTGGTCATTGTGTCTTTGTCCCAGCCACAGGGCCCTGGACACGGAGCCCGGCTGCCTTTGTTTCCTGAGCTGCTCATTAGAGACCAGCTGGGCCCGGGCGGGCAGCCGGGGCCACTTGCTAGGACTTCCAGGGCGGGGGCCGGGCTGTGGGCACAGGGTCCCTGATGGGGGACAGAGGGCAGCCGGGAGGTTGAGGCCCCGGGGGACAGGATAGAAGCAGCCCAGGACCTTGAGAGCTCATCCGTCCTGAGGCCCAGCGTCCTGGCCCCGTGTCCAGGGTGGCCACGGTTCCGGAAGCCATCGTGGGAGTACCCAGCACAGCACCCGGGACGCAGAGGGAGCTCACGTGGGCTGCTGGGTCGATGGGATGGTCCCTTGGTCACTATTGAAACAGCGGGGCTTGCTTTGGAGGCCACCTGCCCTCGCCTCGTCCCTGCTGTGTGACCTTGAGCCTGTCTGTGTGACCTTGAGCCTGTGGAGCGCCCAGAGCCCGATTCCTCGTCTGTAACAGGGCAGTCACAGTCACACAGACCCCAACGTCCTGCCTCGAGAGCAGGGGCTTAGGCGGCAGCAGGTCCTGGGCCGGGGTACAGCTCAGTAGCACGTGGCCACAGTCACCCAGGGTGGCCCCCAAGGGCGGCACTGGTGTCTGAGTCAACGCTGGCTGGGTGCCTGAGGCACGTCGCTCACCCTCTCTGGGCCTCCGGTCCTCAGCTGGAAAGTGGAACGAGGTCCACACCCTCAGAGGGAGGGGTCTGCAGGAGGGGGGCCAATGGGAAAGCAGGGACAAAAATCCCAGAGGACAGGAGCGTGGGACGGGCTGCAGGCCAGCAGGCAGCCCCCTGGGTGGGCAGGGGAGGGGGAGGCCCTGATGACCAGGGTCCTGGAGACCTAACTGGAAAGGGCTTGGAGGAGCCACCTCCCGGCTCAGTGTCCACCGTCACCGCAGAGTGGCCCCTGTGCAGGTCCCTGATGGTGGCCGCCGAGGCCCCAGCCCTGCAGCACAGCCCTCCGTGGCTTAGGGCAGGGCTCCCCACCAGGTCCTGCAGCGTGATGGCCAGCTGCGGGGGACCGTCCTGGGCTCTGCAGGACAGTGAGCAGCGTCCTCGACCTCTGCCTGCTAGACGCCGTTGCATCCCTGTCCCCAAAAACGTCTCCGGGAATGACAAAATGTCCATCCCATGGGTGCAAAACAGCCCTCAGTGGGGACTCACTGGCCTGCGCCTGTCTCCCTGGCCCCAGGCTTGGTGTCCTCCCGTCCTCTTGGGGCGGGGCTGGCCTTCTGCCCACTTCCGGTCCCCAGGGGCAGGTGGAGCCCGCCCTGGCTCACGTGGTCCCCTGCGGTGGGATGGACCTCAGCCCCCCTGGGGGCTTGTTCTTCCAGGACGGTGGCCCAGCACCACGGCGGCCCTCGTCCGTCCCTGTGCGGGGGACACACCCGCCATGTGGGGACCCGGCCCATGATGACAGACACCACCCGGAGGTCAGCAGACCCTGGGCAGGGAGGGACGGGACTGAGAGATCAGCCTCTAGCTCTGCCGGGGACCACGCTCTGTGTCTGTTATTTTTAATTGGTCACAATTTCTATCCTGCAGGCGGTGAGCTGCCAAGAGTCGAAGGTGTAGAGAACGAGGCCTCCGCCCGCGGTGCCCTGTGGATTCCATTTCTGCATGTTTGGCGGGGACAGGCCGAGCCTCCTGTGGTTACAGCCCCGGGGACCGCGTTGGGGGGGCCTCGCCTCGTGTTTGTATTTTAAATTCCATGAAAATACCAAAGGCATCTGCTTCTGTGGCTCCACGGCCCCGTCGTGCCGGAGCGCGGTGTTGGCCCAAAGTGCAGCCCGGGGACCAGCTCCAGGCCAGGGCCCCTGTGGCCTGTGGCCTCGTGGTCACAAGCATCTTGCAGGTGAGGCTGGATCCTCGGTGACGGTGAGACCCCGCGGCTTCCTGGGCACACAGCCGACCGCGGCGTTGACCGCAGCCGGGCTTCGGGGGACGGAGGGCAGCCAGTTCCCTGGGCTGAGGTCCTGGGACTTCCAAATCACAGGGTGTGCTCTTGGGGTCACAGGACCTGCGGTTTCTAAACTGAAGAACGCCACGTGTCCCCCAGGGAGGTGGCTGACATGTGTGCGAGGTCAGGAGCGCCGTAGTGTAGCGGCTGGACTGCAGGACTTTCTCACCAGAGCACCTCAAGGGGCCTGCGGAAGACGTGGCGGGCACCCCCAGGCCCCACGCCTCCCCCCGTCAGCTCCCTCCCTGCAGCGGGCTCCCTGAGCAGACCTAGCGCCCTGGTTCTCGCTCTTTCTGTTGGGCTTCTGCGGCTGGAAGCGGCTGCTCCCCTCGATGCTCAAGGGCCACGCGGTGCTAAGGACATGCACTCGGGAGGCTGCGGAGGACCTTAGTGACAGTGCCGTCAGCCAAAGCCCCAGTACCAGTGGGTCACCCCTGGGCACCGAGCTGGGTGTCGTCAGACGGAAACAGACGCAAGCAAAGCCCCACGCACACGGGTGGCCAGGCCCTGGCCAGTCTCACAGGCCCCCGACGGGGCTCCTGGGGTCCTAGTCCTATCTGGCTTAGAAAAGGGACGTGGGGCTCCAGGTGGGCACGTGTGCTTTGGTCCCTGGGGCTCCTCACTCCACGCCGGGAAGCTGCTGGAGGAGAAGGGGAAGGATCCGTCAAAACGGCACCATCCAATGTGGGGACCCCGAGCCTCCAGCTGCGGCTGCCCACGTGGGGTGGAGCCTGGGCCTAGGAACCGCGCAGCCGGTAGAGACCCCCGCTGGGAAACATGACATCTCAGGAATAGTATGACGGTGGTGGCTGTTTAAATGTCCACTTGGGACGCAGTCAACATGGAATATGATTAAAGTCCGCTCCACCGCGTCTCTGCACCTTTTATGAAAGGGCGATTTGACAGTGGGCACTGTCCCTCCTACTGAATTTCGGATTCTATTGCGGAGTCTGCTTTCAAAGCCTCAGGTTTGCAGGCCTTAGGGTGGTTCCCGTGCCACCCGTCCCAGAGCCAGAGAAGGACAGACGGACGGTGGAACAAGGGGCGCAGACACAGCCACCGTAGGCCAGGCCCCGGTGGCCACCAACCTGCTGACCGCCGTCCTTCCAGACTCGGGTCACTGAGCGGTTGCATGACGTTTGGTCGACAAAGAACTGAGTGTACAGACAGGCCTCGCCGGATGACAAAAGCCAAAACAAATCCCTCTTGCCGGGTGACGCCATCGCCATCTTGCCGGGTGACTGTCACATAGCACAGCGTCTTATTCACAAGCTGGCGGTGCAAACCAACCCACCGCGCTGCCAGACGGCGGGAAGCACCAAACATACAATTACCAGCAGCGCGGGGCACTGGGTCACGAGTGGCTGGCCGCTGGTTATGCACTCACCCTACTTTCCATAGCTATTTTTTTGAAATGTATTTCATCTACTTAAAAGTGGAGGAGCACTCCGCCATGTTCACAGGGTGACAGAATCGCCTAAGGACAGGTTCGCAGAGCCTACCGCTGTCATTGAGGAACGCGTAGTTGTGTTCGTCACATTTGGGCTTTACTGATTTAAGGATGGTTAGGATTTCCACAGAGGACCCTCGGAAGAATAGCATGGAGGATTGCAAAAAAATAGCCAGGAATTCTTTCCCTCCCATCAGGAAAGGAAGTGTATCCAGGCAGGGTGCTGCTGCACACCTGGAATCCCAGCTCCTTGGGAGGCTGAGGAGGGAGGATCGAAAGTTTGAGGCCAGCCTCAGCAACTTAGTGAGACCCAGTCTCAAAATATGAAAAGGCTGGGGATAAGCTCAGAATGCAAGTGTGGGTTCAATTCCTAGTATTAAGGGAAAAAACCAAGTGGAGTCTGTCCCTGCACCCTGTGACTCTGGGTCGGCAGGCGCCACCTGCTTTGGACAATGGACATTAGTGAATGTGACTGGAGCAAGGGCTTGAAAAGTGCTTGTGAGCTGGAACCTCCTTATGGTAGCTGCAGCAGGAAGTCTGTGCCTTGGGAAGAAGCCCCGGTGACCCCACTCGTTGCTTCCTGTTCCCACTCACTCTGCGTGTGATTTTGAAGTTCCTCCCATCGAGAGGTGCAGTGATTCCCCATCCCTGAACCTGGGCTGACTCGGACATTCAATAAGATCAGTCGATGCAGTCGAAGGAGCTGTGCCTGTTCTAAGCCTTCGCTTTCTGCCAGCGGCCGTGTGAGTAAACTTGAGCCACACCATCGCTGCAGGAAAGACCATGAAGAGCAGAGCCAAGTCAGCCCAGTTCTTCTCCATAAAGCTGTCCGAGACCAGCCGCAGCCAGCTGGTGCACTGACTGCAGATCGATGATCACGTCCAGCCGAGATCAGTCACGCCGAGTCCAGAACATCTGAACGGCTCCATCAACCTTCAGACTTGTGAGCTAAATCAGTCCTTGCTGCATTATTAATCTGGGGGCTGTTTGTTATGCAGCAAGCGTTAACCAATACGGTCATGCTGATACAGATGAGATTTGAACCTGGATCTCTGGTATTTGATTCCAAAACTGAAGATCTGAATCACCACACCCAGAGCTTTGGGGTGAGATGGAGAGAGCCAGCCTAATGAGGTCAGTATGATCATTTTCCTAACAGCAGGAAGATTGGCTGCCCCGTGCTAAGCCACCTTCAAAAGGCACGGCATCTGAACTTCTGGTCTCAGGATCAAACGTTAATAAGCAGCCTGTGCTGTCCTCGGGGTGACAATGAGTCTTTGCGGCGTGAGCTCTGCTCTCTCCCTCATCGACTGTGATCAGCTTCACCCCTCTCTGCCTGTTGTTAGGACCCAGGAAGGTGCTACCCGTCAGGTCTCCTCTGCCTCCCTAATTACCTGTCCTGGGGACCAAGCACCTCCCATTTTCCACCATTCAGCAAACACTTGGCATTTGCAAACCCTCCCCCAAAGCTCTGTTCATCCAGCTCATCAGACTTGCTTTGGGGATGAATCAAAGCCTCTTTGATGATCTAGTCACCACGGTCCTCAAGGCCCTTGTCTCCGGGGTGTTAGAATAGTTTCTAGATACGCACCTGGTCCACCCCGCTGCACCTCTGTGAGAGGTGGGAGTCATGGAGGGGAAAGAAGGAAGCGGGCTTCTCTGACTCTCTCTGCCTCATCCTAAGTGGGGCTCACACAGAGAGGTCAATTAAGTTTTCTACTGCTGCACAGAGAGTTACGACACATCTTGAGGTTGGACCCTGGACCCGGTTCTCTCGGTCTCTGCAGGTGGTAAGCCTGGACGTAGATGCTCAGCTGGGTCAGCTCTGGGGCCTCGCCAGGCTGTCGTCCGAGAGGGGTGGGCTGCGGTCTCAGCAGAGGCTCGCCTGGGGCAGAGCCGCTCGGCTTGTCCAGGTGGATGGAGTGGCCTCTCCGCGGCCCTGGGCTGGAATCACGGCTCCTCTGCTGTCCGCCAGTCAGGCCGCTCTGGGGGCCCTGCAGTCACCCACCAATGCCTCCCTCTGTGAGATTCCCAGGACGGGCAGCTTGTGGACTCTTCAAAGCCCGCGGGAGTCTCCCCGCCCCCCTGGGGGCTAAGACGCAGCCTCATCTCAGGGAACACGGGGGAGCTGCGTCCTCCCTCCGCCGTGTCCCTGGTCAGAAGCCCCTGCAGGCCCTCGTCACGGCCTGGAGCCCAGGAGGTGGGGTGTCACTGGGGGTCCCCGTGGAGCCTGCCCATCCAGCTGAGGCCGATGTCACACAGCAGTGGGCGCCTGGGACGTCTGTGCTCCCCCCTCTCGGGGAGGGGGCCTTATGCATGGGCCCCTGGACACACCCACCCGGGGCACCCAGGCCTGGCACGGGGCCTGCTCCTCGGCAGAGGCACCATCCGAGGTCTTGGGTCTCGAGTCAGGTTCCAGCTGAAGAGCGGCTCTCCTGCACTAAGGTGGTCATCATCTGTCCAATGAACACACCGAAGACCACCCTGGGGGCCCGGCGTGGTGGTGCACACCTGGAATCCCAGTGGCTCGGGAGGCTGAGGCAGGAGGACCACAAGTCGAAGGCCAACCTCAGCCACTCAGCAAGGCCTTGAGCCACTCAGTGAGACCCTGTTTCAAACCAATGGGGGGCGGCGAGGGGGTGGGTGTTGGAGCTGCCTAGGGGTCTGTCTGAGCCACGAGGCAGGAAAGCTGCTTCTCTGGGAACCCCCAGTGACATCCCTGGTTCCAGAAAGCCCAGAGCCCGAGGCCCTGCCTCAGCTCAGCCGCCGGAGACGGGCGTGACCTGCCGGGCACCAGACACCTGTGTCCCCTCCTGTCCTCCTCTCTGAACCCCCTGGGGTGACTCACTGTAAATGAAGACTCGCGGCGTCTCTCCTGGTTAGTGTCGGCCCGTCTGTCCACCGTCAGGCCCTGCTTTCCTCAACGCCCTGGGTTTTGTGTTGATTCCTTAGTGTGACTTTCATCTCCAGCGGCCACACCCCCAGCGTCACCCACTCCCTCCCCACGCGGGCACGGGCAGAGCTGGGGAGGTGGCCCGGGGTTCCGCGCCCTGGGTTCAGTCCTGCGGCATCTCCATCCTTCCTGCCGAGGCCCTGAAGTCCAGGTTCAGCCGACCCACACGGGACGCGGGGTCTCCGGCTTTGCTCTGGCCCCGGCACTTCCCCGTCTAGGATCCTGTGTCAGCCTGCCCTTGTCTGGGCTCTGCAGTCGCCCCGGAGACCCGGCTCAGCCCAGGGCCCAGCAGGCTCTCAAACCCAGCGGTCCCTAAAGGCCCTGTGTGAACAGACGGAGCCAAGAAGGAACAAGCAAATGGGGCAGGTTTAGGAGCGGGGCAGTGTTGCCTGCTGGTTAGGGACCCGGGCGCTGGAGATCCCTGTTCGGGTCCTTGCTACGCTGTGACCTTGGGCAGGCACTGTTTTCTGTGGCCCAAGTCCACACCTGTAAGAGGTGACTGTCACCATGTTCCCTCATGGGGTCATTTCTTGGATTAAAGGAGTTGGATTCTCCACCGTGTTTTCAGCTGCACATGGTATACAGTAAGTACCCAATTAATGCTAGTTCTCTGGCTTCAGTGGTGTTGAAAACTGGCCCAGATCCTACCTCTGGGGCTTGCAGTGTAGCGGGGAGGCCAGCCGAGGCCATCACGGAGCGGTGTGGGATCAGAACCCTGCTGTGGACACAGGCGCCAGGGAGCTGGGGAGGTGGAGTTGGCAGACCTGGTCTGCAGGTGCTGGGGACAGTGGTCCCCAGGAGGCGACATTTCAGCTGATAGTTGGGAGTGAACGGGGCAGAGGTGAGGGAAGAACTTTCCAGGCATCGGGAAGGCATGAGCAAAGGCCCTGAGTCAGCAGTCTGAGGCCCGAGAGGAGGCCGGGGCGGAGCTTGGGATCCTCGCGTGGAAGCGGAGCGCCTCTTTCTTGGACTCCCTCAGGTAGAATTGTCCCCTCTTGTGCTCTCAAAGCCCAGTTCAGGGAACCCTATTGAATCATCACCTTGTTGAATGGCGCGGTGGGTGATGCGCTGGACTGTGGCTCTCTGAGCAGGGCGCTGTGCTCCACGGGCCTCTGGACTCCTGCCGGCCAGGCCAGCCTCCTCCAGCCTCCCCCAGCTCCGGGCGGCCACCCTGCCCCCCTCTATCTCACTGCTCCCTCCTGGCCTCCTCAGCCTGGTCCACTTCTGCGTCCCTAGGAGGGGGCCTCTGTGCCTGTCCCGCACAGCCTTGGGGACACAGGACCCTGGTGCTTAGGGAGGAGGCTGGGGTGGCCAGCTGGAGCACTGGCTATTGATGTGGCCCAGACGGGCTCCTGCTGCACAGGTGGGAAAAGCCCAGAAGGCCCGGAGCTGCCCAGCGCTGGACAGCCAGGCTGTGGTGCGTGCTGGGGGCCTGGGTCCCCGCGGGAGGACCGGGCCGGGGCTGGGTCTGTTTCCTGTCAGCCTGCGGCTGCCTGGACAAGGCAGGAGCTGGGTGCTGGGGGCCTGGGGCGAGGATGGCTGTGGAGTCAGCAGTCTGAGGCCCGAGAGGCTAATCACAGATAATCACCGAGCAGAACCCGACTCGGGCCAGAGGCGCCCGCAGCCCAATTATGAGCAGAACAACTAATGACAGCCCCTGGCAGGGCCCTGATTGCTGTTCTCACCCCCACCTCAGGGCTCCAGGGGCCAGCTGCTCCCCACCGTGGGGCAAGAGGCTGGGAGGCCTCCTCCGGCCTGGGGCCAGGGCCTGTGCAGCTGGAGAAACAAGCCGCCGCACAGCTGGCAGAGACCCAAGGCCCAGAACACAGCCCCAGCCATGTCCACCCGCGGCCCAAGCGCACACCCAGCCAGGGCTCGGCCTCACCCCGCAGCCCGGGGCCTCCCTCCTTTCCACAGCAGGCAGGGGAGGGCAGGACAGACCGCAGCGTCTTGAGCACTTCATTACGCCAGGAAACTGCAACCCTCCACATGCAGATGAGGAAACAGAGGTTCAGAGAAGCTAAGTGCTGATCCCAAAGTCACACAGCTAATAAGTTTAAGGAACCCGATTCAAATCCAGGGCCCTCTCACTCCAAGTCAGGTTTCGTTTCAGAGTCTGGGATGTGCGACATGCTCCAGGGGAAAGGATGCATCGGAGGAAACAGGTGAAGAGTTGGAGCCTCCTCCGGGTCTGTGGAATGGCCCAGTCCCCAACCAGATACTGGGAAGCGTGGCCGTGGTGGTCAGCGATCCTGACCGCGGGGCAGCACCAGCCAAACTGCAGATGGCCATGAGGCCCAGCAAAGCCCAGCGCGGGTCCAGGAGACCGGAGCCGGCCTCGGCTTGTGCTCAGCTCGGCCCAGACGGCTCTTCACCCTCAGGATGAAAGAGAAAGGAAGACGGGGGACGGGAGGAGGGAAGGATGAAAAGATGGTCTCATTCTTCAGATGAGCTCCGCAGGGATCCTACAGGCCCACTGTGCTCGGCCACTCAGCTGTGCGAGGCCCGGGGGACGCCGTCAAAACGGCTGGCCAACAACCACTGGACATCAACCACCAGTGGACATCACGCAGAGAGAGAAGGCCCGAGGCCACACCTGAAGTGCCCCGTCTCCCAGCGCAGGTGGCACAGGTAGGGGACCTGCCAGGGCAAGGCCAAGAGCCCCTGCATGCGTCACAGGCTCTGAGGGAGTTGAGTCCCAGGGTCCAGGACATGCCCAGAACTGGGGCCTGGGATGCCCTCCCCGATGACGGCCAGTGGGGGAGGGCATCCCAGGAATGTCCCCACCCCAGTGTGCCTTCCTCCTTGCTGGGCTCCGTCAGGCTTCTCTGGTTATTATCAGGCCTGCAGCGACCGAGTCGGTCAGCAGAGCAGAGTCACGTCCGTCCACGCCAAGAGCTTCTCCTGGGTGCACTACCTGGCTACCACGGGCGGGTGACAATGAGAGCGAGTCTCACAACAATGTGGACACACACACACACACACACACACTAACTCTATACCGTCCCAAAGTGTATCTCAATCTTTTATATGTTCCTCGCATGGCGGATGTACCCAAGGCCAAGGCCACTCTAGTGTGAAGTTCAGCTGAGCTCTGGAGAGAGCCAGGAAACCACGTTCTCCAGGAGGAGGCCGTGCACAGGGACAGCCAGACGCTCCTAACACATCTTGGGGCTCTTGGACCACTGGATGCCAACCCCACTCAGGCAGGAGTGACAGCTCCCATATTGTATTTCCAGCCAATCCGCACGTGGTCTGTACCACTCGATTCACCAATGAAACTTCACCCTACACCTATTATGCAAATGAGCAAGCCCTCATGGGTGCTGATTGGAGAGGAGACCTCAAAACCTCAGAGTTGCCCCTGTGCATTGTGGGCTTCTGATCAGTCTCTCAAATGCTAATCACGAATCCTGGGGTCTGTGTTCTTCAATCTCCTGCCATCTCCTACCATCCGACAGTGTAGATTAAAAGTAATTCACAGGATATGTCACACTGTCTCTCTGAAGTCTTCTCAAGTGAGTCACAGGCAATTTCACGCCATTTAAAGAAAAGAGCAAGCTCCACAAAGCCCAGGACTTGAAAGTGGCCTTGGAGCTGGGACTGGAGCCTCCGCTGGAGCAGAAGCTCAGGCACCGTGTCATTTAAAGAAAAAAACCTTCAGGACTTTGGAGCGTGACACTGAACCGGACTTTGCATGCTCATTTGAGTTTTGGAGACTCTTTACCCAGTAGTTGTTGTGCCCAAAAAGATTTCTCAGAAATTGACTTTGAGCTTAAACACGCGGAGTTGAAGGTATCGAAATCCCAACCTGGTTCTCTCATAAGCTTTCAAGTTCCATTACAAATCTTTTTCTGTTTATATCGAGACGATTTAGCAAGCACGTCCAAGAGCTCTTTGAAGGGTATTTGGTTCTGGTTACAACATAATGAATTAAACACAACTCAGACAATCCATACTGAATTTATAAATTTAATGTTTCCGCTGTCTGCAGGGGATCCCTGGGGGGGTGTCCCGGGTCCCGGTACTGTTCTCTTTCTCTATCAGGCTCCCTGGGTACTCGGAACTCTTCGGAGCGTGAGGTACACCTCAGCACAATTTTTTTCAAGTTATTTATATGATTTTCCGTTAAACTCATTTGCCTGTTTTAACAAAATCTCCCCGGATACCTCATTAGCTTTCATCTATCTATTAGATGAAATGTACAAATACCGTGAGCCCGGAATTCTCTTAAATATCCCATTACCAGCTTAAGCTTCGTAAGATTTCAACTTGAGCTCACACATCTAAGTTAATCACCCCATTGCTTTTCAAGTCAGAATGATTAGATTCTCGCTTTAATGGGCTCACTCAACTTAGCATTACAAGTGAGCACACAACGGAAAATAGGGGAGTGGACTTAAGTTCCCCCAAGTCCAGCCACACCCAAGGCCAGATCCTTCTGGAGGAAAAGATCCACACCCGCCAAGGGACCCCAGGCGCCAGTTAACTGGGGCTGCCCAGCTCCTGGGGAGCAGGGACAAGCTCCATTTGGGGGCGCAGGGATGAGGACCTTCTCCCGGGCGGCTGGTTGGGTCACCTGGTGTCCCCGGAACCCCCTTGGATCCCGTTTCCAGGTTCCATTTCGTGGGGGAAGGTGTCCAGCTCCGCCTCTGGACCCTGGTGATGGATCACTGCTGGAGTCACCTGCTCCTGCTCCCGCCGGCTGGAGGCCACCTGGGCTTGCGCTTGCCTGTCTCAACTTGACCATGAACTCAGGTTTTTGCCCTTTGAACTCTGAGGAATGGGAGGAGGGTGAGTCGTACTGGGCGCCACCCCATGGAATTCTACCTCCTTGGCTGCAGGTCAGCTCGGACCCGGGATGCAGAGGGAAGCAGGAGACTCTGGGCCTGGAGACTCTGGAGCAGGTGCTGACCACCCCTCCTCTCCACTGCCAGAGCCCAGCCCACTGCCACACTCTGGGTGGAACCTGCGGCCGGCCTCGGGGAGCCTGCCCCCCAGCAGCGCCCCTCAACGCTCATCCCAGCGGACTCCTGCAGCCTGCGCCTTCAGTGCTGGCTGGTGGCCAGGTCCGTGACAACCTGTGGGCCCTTCCCAGCTGACGACATCCAGAGAGGCTCTCCCTGCAGCCCCCGCTCTCCCTCTCCACAGAGACTTCTCTCCTGACCACGCACTCACATGGCTCCTCTTGTTATTTACTCCCCCGGTTTCCAGCAAGACGCTACCCTGGGGACAGGAGGCGGCTGGTAGTCAGCGGGGCTTCAACACGAGTAGCAGCAGCAACAGCAACACGTTCACTGAGCGCTTAGTATGTGCTAAGTGTTTTACATGTGCTTGACCCTTTCGTCATGAGAGCTCTGGAAGAGGAAGCTGAAGCACAGAGAGGCTAAGTAATTTTCCCAAGATCACACAGCCAGTGTGAAAATTGGCACCCAGGTCTCTCATTGTAAATGCTGTCTGTGACTCCTCAACTCTATGCTGTCCAATGAGGGGAGGCCTCAGGCTGAGCCCAGGGCCTAGCCAGGTAGCCACAGGGTAAAATGGGAGGGAGGGGCGATCCAGTTGTACCCAAGGAGCAAACTTGGCAGAGATGGAGAAAGCTGAAGAGAAAAGGGTCGGAGATAAACCTCCAAGAGAGGAGTCTGTGGGGAAAGAGGCTGCTGACAGGACAGATGGCCTGCCTTCCAGGCTGCCCCAGGGCCCTGGCCACCCTTGGTCCTGCATTCCCCAGACCTCAGAACTCAGTCTTTGAAAAACGTGGAACTGTCTCCACCTCCATAGTCTTCACAATCCCCTAAAAGCAAATATTGCAAACAACAAATAGAAGCAGAGGAAGAAATTGGCACTTGGTCTGGGAGCTGCACCCCACCGCATCCCCAAGAGCCCCCCGCAGCCCCCTCCCAGCCAGGACCAGCCCACTGACTCCATCTCTCAGGATGCTCTGAGGTCTGCCCATTCTAGAGATGGGGACGCTGACCCGGAAGTGACAGAGTTGGCTCTCCTTGGAGGACTGTCACCTCCAAACCACAGAAATTCAAATCCCAGCTTTTTGCTGACTGTTGGGGATGTCAGCCTCTAGCTGACAGTCTGCTCAGGTGACCAGAAAGCCATCTCCTGCTTTGTATCAGTAACGTTTGGTTGAAGCCAGCCGTTTGCCAGGTTGCATATAAGAGGGAGAACAAAAGAAGAAAAAGGCTGAGGCTCAGAGAGGGTAAGTGATTTACCCAAGGCCACACAGCACATCCATGGTATCCTGGAGAGTGGAACACCCATCCCCTTGCCCCTGCCCTTTTCCCAGGCCCCCCACCTGGTGCACACCCTGCTCCTCGGAGACACCCGCCTGGCCTGCTGAGAAAGCCTCTGCAGACAGATTTGGATGTGTCTGGCTCTGCCTGGCGTGCTGCTTAGTGATGGTTCTCAGCCCGTGTGTGGGCTCCTCCACTCCCCCGTCTTCTATTTCTTTCTGCGCCCCCAGCGGGCCCCCAGCCCCCAGCACCCAGCACCCTCAGCAGGTGTTCGACAGCCAGCAAAGGAGTGAGGCGCCGCCATCTGCAGGGGCCCACCCCCACCCAGTGCCACCCGGGCTGAGCAGGTGGGTGCAGAGAGCCCGAGGCACCTGGACTGGTGCCCGCTGGGTGGACGGAGAGGACCGGCTGCCTGAGGAAGCGGTCCCCGGTCGCTGTGCCTCCAGCCGGCCCTGGCCTGTGGCAGGCCCCCAGGTCCCTGCCTCATCCTGTGGCACTCAGGGACTGTCCTGCTCCGCCGAGGGCCCAGATCTCCCCAGCAGGCAGGCTCCGGGGCCTGGGCCCCCCAGAAAGGAGCCCCACACGGCCTGGACAGCCATGCTGGACAGGGAGCAGCGTGGGCTTCTGGGAAAGGAGACTCAGGCCTGGGCTTGCTCCTGGGGACAAACTGAGAGGGCCCGGTGTCTCCAGGGAGTCCCCACGGGGCTTGGGGGTGCCAAGCATCGCCCCCTTGGGCGTAAAAAGACTTCCTGATTTCTGTGTCCCGTGAGCCCCCAGGTTCCCCAACACCACTCTGCAGGCTCTGCGTGGGGGCGGGGTCTGTCCTGCAGATTCCTGTCCAGCGCAGAGCTCCCCGGGCCTTGGGGGAGGCCGGGGGCCTGTGTTCGCACAGCAAGCCCCTCCCCGGGGCTGGGCAGAGCTGGAGCTGCCATCTCCTTGCAGAGACCCCCAGCAGGGCCTGCGGCTCCAGAGGCAAAGGCTAGATGTGGCCTGGCGCCTGGCCTGTCCCTTCAAGAGCTAGCTCAGTGCCATGACCCAGGCTGTGGCTATAGCGCAGAAGCGGGGGGCCGTGCTGGAGAGGGGGCTGGCCGTCTCCCCGGGCAGCCTGTGGGAGGGCTCGGATGGGCCTCCTCTGCTGACGGGAGCCCGGGGTCCAGTGAGGTGCCCACTCACTGTGACGCCAGGAGCTCCGTCTCGGGAACAGTGAGCTCCCGCAGCAGAGACCCGGGAAGGACTCCGCAGGACCTGGGCTCTCTCCCACCTAGGGTCAGGACACGGGGTCAAATAGGCAGCGGCCACAGCTGATGGTTGCGGCTGCCTTGAGCATCACCGTCCTGAGGTCCCACCACGGGGCGTGTGCAGCCTCGGGGCATCGCGCAGATACTTCCAGAGCCTGCATCTGGCACTGTTCTAGCATTTCCCACCTACGGTCAGTCCTCCGCCCTCCTGCTCCACGGATTCCATCAACTGCAGATGGGCACCGAGTCCATGTGCTCGCCGCTCGCAAGCCAACACCTGGGAGGTGAGAATTGGAGGGGAAATCGGGTTTACTCCAGGGTCAGCACCTGAGAAGGAGACAGGGAGGTATTACCCCAAAAGACCATCTCAGGGAACTTGGTCTACACCGGCGATCACACAGGGAAGGAAGGAAGCGCAGGGGACAAGGGACAGGGGGAGAGCACGCCAGGCAGGGCGCCCTCGTCCAGGAGGGGCTTTACCCCTCGTTACTGGAAGGTGGCCATTTAGCAACCAGCACGCTCACCACTTAGGGGCAACTGTCCTTTAGAATTTCAAACGCTGGGCAAACAGGGGGTGGGGACAACTCCCCAAAGGACAGCTGCCAGAGGCAGCCACTGTGACCTCGGGCCCCGTTATCTGAGGGGCTGGCGAATCCAGTCATCGTTACCTGTGGGGGATACTGAGAGACGATCGTATGTGTGCAAAACTGACTGCAGTAAAAGCCCTCCCAGGGGCTGGGTTGTGGCCCAGCGGCAGAGCGCTCGCCTGGCAGGCATGAGGCACTGGGTTCCATCCTCAGCAGCACATAAGAACAAAATAATGTGTCCACCTAAAACTCAAAAAGAAAACACATAAATAAATGTTAACACCAACCCTCAGGATCCCCACAACATACAGTACATCTTCTGTTACCTCTGCTTTACAGACGAGGAGGCCAGCACGCGTCAGCCCCCCGCTGAACCCCTGGCTGCCCCAGCCCCAGGGTGAGTGGGGAAGAAACCACGAAAGACCTTCCCGACTCACAGACAGCTGGACATAATAAGCCCCACGTCCCCGCGTGCACCGGCTTTCCCCCCAGGGGGTGCATGGCCAGGCCCTGCAGGAGGAAGTGTCCAGGTGACGCCGCCAAGCCACCAGGAGGATTCGCTGCTCCCAAGAGGTTTCTTCTCAGTCTCCTCCATGAGTCCCCTGCTCTGAAGGGCCTTGATGGGGAAGGGGGGCAGAAGAGGGGGCCGGGGGACCAGGAGAGGTGGGGATCGGGGCAGCAGGCCAAGCCAGGACCCAGGAGAGGCACCTTCCAAGGTGGGGCCCTGGGTTGAGCCACGGCAGCCTCAGGTGCCTTCACCACCCAGGAAGGGCCTCCCCAGGGACAGGGTGCCCCAGCCCAACTCTGGGGCCTCCAGAATCAGCATCGGCACTTCAGTGAGGGGAGGGAGGGTGGGAGGGATGGATGGATGGACGGGTGGACAGATGGATGGATGAATGGATGGGCAGATGAATGGAAAGACAGACGGATGGATGGATGGATGGATGGATGGATGGATGGATGGGCAGACGGATGGATGGACAGTTGGACAGATGGATGGGTAGACAGATGGATGGATAAACAGATGAATGGATGGGCAGATGAACAGAAAGATGGATGGATGGATGGGCAGATGAATGGAAAGACAGGTGGATAGATAGATGGATGGATGGACAGGACGGATGGACAGATGGATGGGGATGAAGCTGGAGGCAAGAAGTGCAGGGCAGGTGAGTCTCCACTGGGAATATCTGTGGGTTTCTGTTTTTGCACTTGACATTTGACAATCACAAATTGTGTCTTATTTCTTCTCCTCCTACTTCATCTTCCAACCCCTGACGTGACGCAACACCCACATATACTCACACAGACAGCACACACCTACATACAGACCGAGACACACAGAGCCACCATAGGCAAATGGCACGCTCCATGACACAATGACATCCATGCACTATACACACACACACACACACACACACACACACACACACACACACACCTGTGTCCTTACATATGCACATCTTCCCACGCACACATGGGACCTCACAAGCGGCCTCATACACACAGAGGCGGACATACATTCACGGACATGTGAGCAGATGTGTGGCCACTTCAGGGACACACACTTCCAGTCACCGTGTCCTACCTCTCTCCGTGTAGGCGTGCTTCTGCTCTTTCCCATGACTTTACAAAGTGCTTTCCTGTTGGTTCCCTGCCTGACCTTTTAGAGGGCGTCCTCTGCACTAGGTAACACACACAAGATGCCTAGGACTCACCCTGCCCGGCGAGGCTCCTACTCCAGTGCAGGAAACGAGAGAAAGTGACAATCAAAACCTCTTGGGATCATACAACTGGGAAACTGTTTCTTGAGCATGTACTTTGTGCTGGACCTGCGTTGGGCTTTGGAAAGGCAGAGGGAAGTAAGGTCCCATCCTCCTGGTCTCAAGGAACTTGCAGGCTAAGGAGGGGAGAGACAGGCAAAGACATAATACTTTGTCCTGATGCACACCGGGCAGTGGTAGCCCAGAAAGGGGTGATGAACGCCTCTGGGAGAGAATCAGGGAGCACATCAGTCTGCGCCAGCCGCTGTAACAGAATTCCTTATACTGGGCAGCTGGTTCTACAAGCTGGGAAGTCCAAAATCAAGACACCTGCAGACTGGGTGTTCCTCATAGATGGTGTCTTCTATGTGTCCTCAGTGGGCCTTACCCTTGAGGGTGGATTCCTCATAACCTAAACTGCCACCTTTCAAAATTGCGGCAGTGGGGATTAGATTTCAGGAGCCACAGGATGGAGAGCGCTCCGCCCACGGCAGAGGGCCCCGCCCACGGCAGAGCGC